GCGGTCTTTCCTTACACTTGGGTAGCACGGGAAGTCGTAAAAATCTTGAACAAAAGTTCATCTTTCAAACCGGCAGTCTAAATCCCACAGGGATCAACGAACGCTTTTCATTCCACTAATTTATTCTTGTTTTCCTCGTTGCCGTGTTCCCACTAATAACGTAGCTCCATTTTCTGCCTTTAAAAGCACACACACAACCCACAATTCCTCTATATTCGCTCCGACAAAGGGCTAACGCTCGAAACGTCAGCTTTTGTAATCGTTACGGTGGCCAATTTACCATTTCAACTTTGTTGATATATCCCAATTATTGTGTTACACTTAGTCTATTGTTTAAAGTAGAGATATGGCAAAAGTAAGCATGGCCCAGGATCATTGCTCTGTTAACTTCTTTTCAAACGTCAAGAGAAATCAGAGTGGCGAGAATTTATCGTTTTTCAACTTTCCTTCAAATTCTTTATTGAGATCGACATGGATTGCCGCCATAAAGGGAGATGAAGGGCTAGATTTTGAGGTAAGAATCGAGCCGTGACCGACGAGTTGTCAGACGCGTGTTATATTATTAGCGACCGACCTTTTCCTTTTTTTACAATCGAACTTAATGTTTCTGAAGCAACAACTTAAAAATGCTTAGTTGAAGTCTCGAAATGTGGTGGTGAAGCAAATGCTGTAATACCTATCAGATATATCGTAATGAGATCATTGGTGTATTTGTAGATCTGCTGGGGAACAATGAACTCAAATTCTCGATACTTGATTCTCAATCTCGGGTGGACAAAGTTCGTAGTTATTGATGTTGCGAGAGAAATGATACTTTACTTTTGGTCTATTAATTGTATATCACTCGGGCCACACGTGAAATTAATGAAAACGTTAGATGAAGACAGCGAGCCAAAGGTTGGACCCTCGAATTCCCTTGTTTCGTTTATTTTTTCTTTTTAACGTCTATTCGCGATGAAAATTTTCATTCATCAAAGTTCCAGGAGATAAACTTATTCGTCCACAGAATATTAAAAATATGCCGGGTACATTGGATTCATTATCTAATCAGTTCTAGCTGTAAAATTTTCATCTTTGGCCTGATTGTTGAGAACATTCTTAAAATAATTTGTGCATTTTTTATACACTCTAAAAAAGTCTCAAAATAAAATGGATTGTGTCGTCAATATTCTGTTGCTATAATTGTTTTCACCTTTAGTATTTTGGTGATATTATCGTCACGAGGCAGGGAATTACAAGCTTAAGTGTTTTTTAACATTACAACAGCAGTTGGTCTAATAACGTGTACACGGCCAGCAAGTAAGAAGAATTATCTGGGTGAGTTACAATGAACAAAAGAAATGATAAAAAAATGTGAATTATACCTAAGTAACTGATAAACATTGCCACCAGTTAAGTTGTCACCGAAAGGATTTGACTTTAACGACATAACGAGAAATGATCTTCTGAAAACAAGGTTAAGGGTTTTATTCTATTTCAGACTGTTTCTTGATTTGCTTTGCTCTGTCTTGTTTCGATTTTTTTTCTCGGGTAAATAACTACTCCACCAAAAATTCCAGCTTACGACCCTGTGATTAAATACGAGGGCCTAAAAATGCGCACGTAACTTAAACGCAACTTCTACAGGTGTTATACAAATAAAGAACACAGGTTCTTTAATCATTCATACATACATACATACATACATACATACATATACTTTATTTAATCTCGAATTTGGAGTAGCTAAAGAATAAGCTAGTATCTTCGAGTTACAAGTATAATTCTAAATACTACTAAAATGTAAAATGTAAAATTGTAACATTCTAAAATTTAACTATGAGAAAGAGTCATACTGTAGAATCTTGCGCTTGAAATCAGAAAAGTCAGACGTTCTAAAAGAGTCCGGAAGAGAGTTCCATAGTTTTGAAGCCATATATGAAAAGGAGTGAAGACCATAAGTAGTAGTTTTTGTAGACGGTAGAGACAAAATATAATTTCCGCGTAGATTATAGGATACAGACCGGAAACTAAACATATNTAGATCGCTAAACTAGAGTAAGAAGATCTCTAAAAGGCCCCAATAAATTCTAGTCAGACAATCACAATATGAGCAGACTAACATTTTTTTTTTCACTTCTTGTTTTTTGATCGGAACTTGTTTCACTTGGGTTTTCTGTTTCTCCTCTAGATTTTAATTGTATATCAATATTTGGCAAAAGTAAATGTTTTGTTAGACATTTAACAGTAAAATACCAGCCTACTCGTGTTATTGAAATTTTAATACCGTATTATTTCAATATCTCAACAATGACATTTCGTCCTTCCTTTAACGCTGGAATTTTCAACAATTAACATTTTCTTTTCAGTTTCTTAAAACTGTTTGAATACTGGCAAGACAAAGTAATGAATTTAATTGTTTTGTCTTGATACTGACTAGCAAAAAAGGTAGCAAAGATGAATTGTTCGTAATCAGTAACTTACTCTTGATCTACTCGATAACTACTAAAATAATTCCTTTTTAACATTTAGCCCTCTTTTTGTAATTTTTTGATTTGCGCGACTAAGATTTGCATGATTGCTTTGTACACTTACTCACTTACTTACTAGTCTGGTTGGAACAAGCCCTGAAAGTGTTAATTTAATTGTTATCTCATGGTGAGCATACAGAGGCGGATCCAGGAATTTTTGATTGGGGGGGTCCAAACTTTGGTTCAGAAAGGACAGAAGGGACTGTTGGACTCTTTGAGGCAAATTACTTCTCCCCCACACCCCCTCCCACCAGTCGCGGTTGCACGTTATAATTCCTTGGCCGCTTACCGTTTATTTGGATTCATTAAAAAAAATCAGCCAGAAGTGAATTACGATCCTGTCTCAAAGTTGTGAGCGTCAGGTTTGATAGGGGGGGGGGTCCGGACCCCCGGACCCTCCCCCTGGATCCGCCACTGAGCATACTTTACCGTCCTTGAAATTGATTCGCTCAGTTTTGTTTTGTTTTATAAAAGCTACTGTTGTTTTACTTCAAATGTTTTGTTTTTCTTTTGGGTTTTGTTTCGTTTTCCTATTTTTGTGATTTTTTTTGTCTTTTTGTTTGTTTCCTTTTTTCCTATTCAAACTAAGCGATACAATTCATAATGCAACAGTGCTAAAAGTCCTAAGCAGTTTAATGAAATAAATGTTTATCAATCGGGGATCATATTTTAAAAGTATCTAAAAGCTACATTCTACACACTGGTTGAACAAAATATGGGCAGACTTATTATGTCTTATATAAATTCGTAATTTTCTCTCGCTTAATTTACAATCCTTTCCGAATCGTTTTATGTGATTATATTAATAGAAGTATTTATTACATCGCTCGCAGCGCCCGTGGGCAAGATGAAGCGAATCCTGTGTTCTGATTGGCTACCCGAGCGGGCAAGATGGGCCCATCTTGTCCACTCGGGATTGCCCGCATTGATCTCGCGCTTGAAATTAATAGAATTAGAACTACATCCGTAATTCTTGGACAATTTCAAAATTGATATCTGCCACACGATACAATTTTTTTTTCTATTTTGGTAATTTTGAAATTTATTCCAAAATGATATGGACTCATTACCACAACCTAATTGCGACAACATCAGTCAAAATATGTTTGTAGCTCTGTCTCAGTGAAACGAACTTGTGTACTGCCCTGGCTATTCACTTCCCCTTCCCACTAAGAAATTTGCAAGGGGAAGCACATTTTGGGAACAAACATCTGGAGGATTAGGGAACGGAAATCAATTCAGTCTGACTAAAGTACTTTCGGGTTACTCTGTATTTCTATGTAACAAGGTAACATTAAATTGCCTTACACTCGACTTTGCACTGACAAACTTACGCTATAAGTAAGAAGAAGAGTCGATATACGTTATTAATAATATTCAGTCACTTTTCTTTTCTTTCATACTAGCTACCTTCAAGCAATTTGTTAGATGATTCCAAGAGATGCTCCGTTTTGGGAGAGAGAGCGTTGCGTGACGAGACCAAATTAAGGCTGTAGGCGGAGGAGACTTTAAGAAGCCTGGTACCAGTTTATTATTGCCAACAATTATTCACACACCATGACAATAGACCACAAAATTCTTTTGTCTGAGTTTATTTGAGATAAATTGGATGGACTTTTTTTTTCTCTCCATTCAATATTTTCAGTGGAATCTTTTGAAAGTAAACTGCTCTTTTTCATTTTCAAAAATGCAAACGTCAGTTACTTAGTGTCCCATTCAATCTACATATCCAAAAACTAACTCCTGCGTGCGTAGCACGCCTATGTTTTAAATTTTGAAGCTCTGAGTTGTATCTGAGTGGTTTGTTCAAAAACCATTAGTCCCGTGTCCAGAGCAGGCTGGTGTGATTAAAGTGCAGCGTTGTAGTAGCTCAAACCTATATCTGGATGGTGTTCCCGATACATCTTCAGTCTTGTGTCGAGTGCACGTTGGAATAATTCAAGGGCGTACGTAAACTTTGTCATTTCAAATTGAACGTTTCCTACACTGCTGTAGCTATTAGGCAATGTCTGCGTGGTGCACTGCCCAAGAAATTCTTGCAGCGGGTTCGAATGGCCGTTCATTTAATATTCTCGCTGGATTGATTCCGCGACAGGAGAACTTTTTTGAAATACATTTGAATAAACTTGAAGGAAAACTATCTAGCTTTCATGCAGAGTCTCGAAACAAGGGCACGTGGTTTAGTTTGAGAATCGAGCGATATTTCAAGAGTGGATCAGTCTGTTGGTCTGACGAGGCCTTCCTCCCTTTCCTTCTCCTTTCACAGGCAACAGTGGGATGAGATCTCAGCCAAATCTCAACGGAATGGCCTGAAATCGTTACCAGAGAACAAAACTAAAACAAACAACACTATCTCAAAGTTGGAGTTTATTTGCTTCATTATCTACGCAGTGCCAGAGTGGAGTCTAAACTCATACAAAGCTTCATAAAATTATCATCTCGTGGAGAGCTTGGCCCCTCCCTGTTTTAACTTGGATCTCAATTATATCTGGGATTTCATGTCATTTCTGTGTTCTACAGCTCTGGAGAGATATATTTCTCGTCAATCTCAAAGTCTGGATGAAGTAGTCGAGCATCAAGCGCCTCCATTAAGGTCTCCAAGTTGAACTCTGATGTTCAGTGCACGCTGGTGTGATTCGAGCGCAGATGTGAAGTCTTGTAAACCTTGTTGTGCAATTCCAATGTTGTTGTAGATATTGGCTGTATCTGGGTGGTTTTCTCCATCTACTCTTAATTGTATATCCAGTGCACGTTGTAAGGATTCAAGCGCGGACGTAAATTTATTCATTTCAAGTTCTATGGTTCCCATGTTCATGTAGCTGGCAGCTGCACGATGATTGTTTTCTCAATCTAACGTCTTTATGATGTCCAGTGCACGGTGGTATGATTCAAGAGCAGATGTGAAGTCCTGTACACCTTGTTGCGCGTTTCTATTGTTGTTGTAGATACTGGCTGTATCTAGGTGATTTTTCCCATATACTCTTAGTTGTATATCCAGGGCACGTTGCAATATTGAAAGCGCGGGTTTGAAGTTTTCATTTCAAGCAGAATGGCTCCCATGTTGGTATAGGTTCCTGCTGTATCTGGGTGATTTTCTCCATGTACTTTTAGTTGTATATTCAGCGCCCGAAGGAATAATACAAGCGCGGATTTTAAGTTTTTCACTTCAAGTAGAATGAATCCCAAGTTAGTGTAGTTTATTGCTGTTTTGGGTGATTTTCTTCATATACCTTCACTGTGATGTGAAGTGCACGCTGGTATGATTCTAGCGCAGATGGGAAGTCGTGTAGACCTTTCTGCGCGTTTGCAGATAAAATCATGGCCCCTGCTTCTTAAAAAATGTGATCTTTGTGGAGGAAGAAGGTCATAAAGAGGATGAGCTGCACGGTTATGATGTTGTTCCATAACTGCGTATCTCTTGAAACGATGTAGCTGGTCATTGGGGTGTACTTGGAGGTAAATCCATATCGCAAAGCGCGCCTACAAAACTTATCAATCTGTGCAATGTATTTACCCTGGTGGGCACAGGCCCATACTTCTGATGCATATAAAAATAATGACATTATGAGGCTATCAAATAGCACAGTCAACTCCAGTAAGGAGTAGCAAAAGTACTTGCAGACCCTCAAGATGTAAAGTCTAGAATTGGCCTTGCCAAGCATATGCTCAAATTGAGTATCCCAATGGGTCTTCATGAAATGTTACTCCCAATAATTTGAGCTCCTTCATCCTAACTATCTCGTCAATATCACCTGGAGGAGTGATATTGATACAATCATTCAGCAAGACAACATTATGGCTTCGCCTTCATAGGAGGCAGCTGCCATAATAACTAAAGCCAGCACAGCCAAGTTTACGGACAACTTTATCACGCAGCCGTCCAAAGTGTAAAAAGCATATTTTTTGGACATGTGGGTTGAAAGGGTGCACTAAGTAACTAATGGTTGTTTTTTTCAAAAAGAACAAGAGCAACCATTTTCAAAAGATTCCACTGAAAATATAGTTCAATGGAGAGCAAAAGAGACATTCCAACTTACCTGAAATAAACTCAGACACACATATTTTATAGCATTGCTACTAGTGTCCGAATAATTGTTGTCAAAAGTAAACTGCAGTGGTTTCAAAGCCCTAATTTGGTTTTGTCACGCAACGCTCTCTCTCCTACGTCGCGTGACGAGACCAAACAACGACCAGCTCGTAGGCTGTTCAGCCGGATTGCAATTTGAAAAACATTTGATCCTTTATTTTAAGGATAAACCGACGGTAAAAGTTCACAACAAACATGGAGGAAAAGCCAGTCGAAAAAAGTCGTGGTAACTAACTGAACGGCGCATGCGTGTACGCGATTACATCATAATACGTCGGAACATAGGCTATGACTGCCGTTCCTTCGTCAGTGACGAAGTCTTGACAGCTAGTTGCCTCAAAAATATTCTTTCATATAATTTTGCAGTGGAAAGCAAATTAAAACTCTTTTTCATCTCTTTCATTGTACTCCAAAGCAACTTGTGCTTTGGAGTACAATGAACAAACTTTGTATTCATCCTGTAAAGTCTGAAGTTATGATCCTTAGCAAATCGGGCTTCATTGGTCCTGCTCCTCCAATATGTTTTGGAAATAATTTCATTAATGTTGTTAATAACACTACTTGTTTGGGATTAATTATTGACAATAGGCTTACATGGGCATTGCATGTGGACCATTTAAAAAAATCTTTTGCACAGAAAGTGGGCGCATTAAAAAGAATGAAGAAGCTTCCTGTGAAAGCGCTGGAGGAAATTTACTTTAAATCTATTGTACCTGCGGTATCGTATGGTATTGTGGTGTGGGGAAACTGCAATTATTCTATTATGGAATCCTTAAACCCTATTCATGCAAGAGCTGCACGAGTTATCCACCAGGATAAAAGTCTTGAAGAGTTAAATTGGTTGCCAATTTCTTACATATATAAAAGAAGACTCCTTCTTCTGATGCACGATGTTTTAAATGATAAAATCTTATATGCCCCTTTTAATTTGAAGTTACGCAACAGACCATCACGTACAGGAGGGTTACAGGTTGAAATCCCTAGAGTGAACTACAAAGTGGGAAAGGAATCAGCACAATACAGAGGACCTGTAATCTGGAATTTTATTGCTAGGCTGGCAAATTTTAATGTGAACATTCAAAAAGACAGTTTTAAAAATATTTTACGTAAGCTCTCACAGAACATAAATAGCTTCTCTTTTGAAGCGCCTATGATTGCTATGAAAGACAGAGATTTTGTATATTTTTAAGTTTTATTACATTGCATGTAAATTTTTGAATTAATTCGTGACTTGTTTGCTAATGAACTTTATTACAATGATTCATATTGAATATTTAAATACCATAGGGTGATTTTATGAATTATTTTAGTTTTACATTTTATTAGTTCGTTGTAGGTCCACATCAGCCTTATGGCTGCCCCCTTCCTTACAACCTGCATTACTAAATAAAATGATTGATTGATTGATTGATTGATACAGCCTAGCCCCTGAATAGGGATATTTTTGCGGTCTCCGTTCTTCGAACAAGTGAAAGTAGAATGAACGAGCATAATCTCCACAGTCATCGTAATTGTTCTGACGTTGTACATTTGTTACAATGACCTTAAAACTGGTACCTTACTCATACATAATTGATGCAATATGTTCATGAAGGTGGGCTGGAATTCTTCCCGAAAACAGGTTGTCGTTCAGATTAACTTCCGAAAGAATTGAGTATCCTACAATGGAGATCAGCACCCAATATTATGACTGCCAGTATTCAAGATTCGCGAAAATCGGCCTCTTTGAACAGAATTATCCAAAAGGATAGGGGGCAAGTGGTTGTATGCAGGCTACGGCAAATCGCAGACGCCCCTTCCCCATTTTCATTTTGGAGGGTTGGGCGCTACTGCACACATGCTATCACGGACAGACGAAACGTCCCATAGTTACCCCTCTCCGGACAGTACATTGCTTCTTAGTTTCCAGTTCGCACGTGGTCAATATGGCGGATGAGATGAGCCCTCTGTTATAAGGGGAAAACATCTGAACATGTAATTACGCGGTGTCTTGACTCTTGCGTGGAAATTATCGGTGAAGAGGTTAAGGCGTATTCCTTTTCAACATGGCGAAGACCAGAAAAAAGTCGGGGCCAGAGAAAACGGCCAAGAAATCCAACAGCAGCATGAACCCAGGTGATCTAAACCTTTCGATTCAAAAACAAAAATTGCTGCTTACCAAACTGTGTTTACTCTCGAGTTGCTACCACTTCAATGAAGGCATACCAATTCTAAATTCAGCTGTCTAAATCTCACAGGCAAGATTTTATTCTAGCATATTCTAACGCGGAACCAACGAGTCTGCAATGAAGTTCTGAAATAAATTTTGCATTCGCTTTAATCAAAGTAATCGTGGATCTTTAAACTTGTGTGCTTTAATGACTGCTTTTCTTTCGTGTGCCTTATTGAATCAGTCTTAAGGCGGTAAAGAATTGATATTATGATGGTGTGTAGCTCCTTTATGGTCAAGCAACAGTTCTTTAATGCAGTACGTCTCAAACGTATTATAAAAGCTTTGTATGTAATTTTCAGAATATATTTTCTAAAATACAAACATTTTTTTCTAGTAATTATGACTTGTAGTTTCTCCTTGGTTTTGAAATAATGTCAGATTGACGCGAAAGAATTTAAACTGAGCAAAAAATCATTTGAGTACAGTACATACACAGTACTTGTCACCTTTTTTTAACGAAGACAATTTTGTAGATCGTCCAAAACCACCAGCAGGCTCTAACATGAGAGACAAAGCAACAGTTAACAGGCTTAAGATGTATAAATCAGGCGGGAAGGCTGTAAGGTGAGTTACATTTTAATAAAAATAAGCACCATCTGCAATTATGCATAATTCCTTTATTGAATTTTTAATATCCATATTTATAATAAATATTTTTGCATCAGGTTAACTTTATTAAATTGGACTCTCCTTGGGGGCACAAAGTGTTTGCCTTTGAAAGGCACTTTTCTGAACAAGTTAGACACCAATTTTTGGTTGATATAGTCAGATAAAGCATTAAAAAGTTTAAACCCAGGAATAATAGTTCATCTTTTGGGCTGATTATTGTGGTTAAGTGGTATGGGCTTAATTGGGTTCAAGTCAAGTTTAAGGCTGAATGTCCTCTATAATTTCCAAACAATTATCAGTTTTCAGTTTTTTTTAATTTGAATGTGATGGTTCTTACAGAGTCTAAGATCAAACTTTAATTTGTTCAAAATGGCCATAATAAGAGAACTATACTTAAATTGCACAAATTTTTTTCATGTCCATTTAGCTTAAGACCCTTATCCACGTAAAAGTTTTAACATTATTTTTGAAACAATTTGCAAGTTGTTTTTATATTTTGATACAATGTCCCTTCATCTTCTGATTTTTTTTTCCCTTTAGGAATAGAAAAGGAAAGATAGTGAAGCCAGCTCCCTTTCAAAGCTCTGTTGCATCAGGAGAAGTAGCAAGAGTGGCTCCAAACAGAAAATGGTTTGGTGAGTAGATTAGTACTGTGAGTGCTTTCTTGCTCTGCATTATTTGGTTTGCTTTACCCATCACCTCATTTCAAGCCACACTATTTTATTCCTCTTTTTTACTCTAATGATGATAACTGTTAAAATGAAGGTCGTCTTTTCTTCTGGAGGGCAAATAATTATTCATCCCTACAACTTAAAAGTCGCCAGTTTACTTTCCCAGCAAGTGATGTAACAAAACCACAAATCATTTTGTAGGTTAGCAGTTTACACAAGGCATGTCATATGAAAATTAGTTTGTGCAGAAATTGTGCCTGGTCCTAATTCTTTCCTTAGGTGAATTGGTTTTAAGTTCTTTGATGATCAAAAAATTAAAGTTACTGTAATTAATTTTTAGGGACAAAAGTCAGATATAGCTAAAACTATTCTAAATGATCTTTCCACCTCAAATTTATTCCAACAGGAAACACAAGGGTGATATCGCAAAATGCTTTGCAATCATTCCAAGATGAAATGGGAAAAGTTCTCAACGATCCATACAAGGCATGTTGTACATGGCTTAGGTTTCTTATACAAGTGTTGATATGATACACAATGTATGATAGATGTTGAGCACTTGTGTTGGACAGATATTTTATTAATGATTTTCCTTTGAAGACTTGAAATCCAAGTCAGTTCCAGTGTTACAGTGACATGTAGATGTTGTCACCAGTTGTGCTTCCAGTGCAGTACTAGTATGGCAGCTCTTGTGCATTTTAGGGTGATATACGAGAAACCATCGTCCCACATTTAGTTAAGGTGGCTGAACACAGTTTTCGCGTGTGCTTCTGCTGATACAATTCAGCGCACGCACAAGGATTGCAAAAAACAAACATGCCATTAACAGAGCGGTCATTTCATGTACTCAACACTGTACCCACACTATCTGTGCTATTTTTCTCTATAGTTGGCACAGTGTATAGAGGGCTTTAATCTTTTATTACAAAAATATGTTAGAAAAGTTAAGAGTGTAAAGAACCCAGCAATTCTCAGCTTTTTCGTCGTTACCGAAAGAAACCAGTTAAATGCAGCGCATGCGCAGTAAGTCAAAAAACTGCGATTTCAAGAATTGAAAATTGCTTTCTCAGATATATGCCTATTTCTTGAGAACCACTCATTAGAATTTCACGAAATTTTGCACAAAAATACTTTAGGAAATAAGTAACTGGAGTGTTGAAAAAAATTGATATTTAACAAAGGAAATTTTATAAAATTGAGTGAACCTTCAACAAGGGATAATCAAAGATCTCTCTGTAAAATTGTGTACTTAGCAAAATGGTGTTAACTTGCGAGTATCGTTACATGCTCGCTACATGCAAATTATAAAGAAAATCTAATGACTAGATTTTGTGCAAAGAAACAAAACCGATTTTAATTGCCTACTTATATCTATTCGTGTCGCCATGGCAATGACACATACGTCAGCTTAACTATCGAAAAAACAAAGTTTGTGTTGTTAACTTGCTTGCTGCCAATTTTGGTGACTGAGAGATCAAGGGTTTTTTAGAGAAAATGGTGAAAGAAACAAAGGTATCATAAACTGTGTTCAGCCACCTTAAACTGGGTTAGGTGGAAAGCATGTTATGTGAAGAGGAGAGCAGATTGTAAATTTCCAATTCCTCAGTGAATTAGGTCATATGCAGGACTCATAGAGGGATACATGGTGTGTTTATGTGTGACAAGCATCCAACACACTGCAAAGAAAAGTAGTCGTAGTGTTCAAATTCCCTGTATTGTTTGTAGTTAATTATATGTGTTTTAATAAGGCCAAAGCACATACACTTTCCTTAGTTGATCAAAATAATATTACATGCTTTGACTGCCAACAGGTTGTGATGCGGCAGAGTAAACTTCCATTGTCTCTGTTGAATGACAAGGTACAGTCAGCTAGGGTGCACATCTTGGATACAGAAAGTTTTGGGACAACCTTTGGACCCAAAGCACAACGCAAAAGACCAAACCTTAAGGCAGCTGATATGAAGGTTGGTAACTTTGGTCTTTTCATCAGTAAGATCCTGAAGGAGGCATTTTGATCATGATCAATACGACCTCAGCGACATAAGGAGTTAGGCACATTTGGGTTTTTTTCAATTTGACCAGCATCATAGGAATTTATTTCAAGGAACTTATGAGAACTCATAGTAAAGATGAGAGTATATGAACAGTCAAATGCAAAATATTGGTGTGATGTACTCAAAATTGTTTTAAGTTTTCCATCTATGTTTGGTTGAGAGGGAGGCAATGAGTATTGCAATGAGTATTCCAGAAGAATCCCAGTTAAGTCATTGATTTGCACTAAGAATTTCAACTTGTACTTCAAGTAAATAACTTTTTGTATGGCTGTTCCGTGTTGGTGCCAAAATGCAGTCGCTATGAATCTGGGGACGAATTAGCCTTTTTATATTGAAATAGGCGCAGTGAATTAAAATACTTGTCTGACAATCAACCGAACACATCCGCTAAAAGAACATGTAAAGAGCTGTGTAAAGATGTATAAATTACCCAATAGAATTGTAAGTAACCTTTTGCTGAAAATTTTTTGGCCCTTCAAATGTAATTTCATATTTAAAAGGCAATTCATTCATTTGCTTTGCAGTTTGACTGTTGTCAATGTACCATTGGCAACCAGTCCAGAAATCAAACAGTTATCTGTACATTTGTAGCCTTCACGTTTAAGTAATGGTTCGATACATAAGCGCAAATCAGTCATTTTTAATAAAACCAAAGTGATACTGAATAACATTTCACACTTAACTGGAAACTGCCATATGGTGATGGCTATTAATGAAGCAACAGTTTTTGTTACAGTGTATATCACTGTTAGTGCACCATCTCCTAGAAATGAAAAGTCGTGGCATTAATTTTTCTTCAGGGTTTTATGGAAGGTGCACAGCACTTACATTTTCTGTTAAATGTAGTGAAGAGAGGTTTGCTACTAACAGTAACTCCTTCTTGATTGGGGTTTTGTCAATTTCAGCTGTTCCCAATTTTTCTCCTCAGATTCCTGCTACCTTTCTCTTATTGAGCCTTTTCAACTTTTTTAATGTTATCTGTCATTGCACTGTCTCCCACCAGTGAAAAGTTTTGGTGTCCATTTTTCATCAGGGTCTTATGGAAGCTGCACAGGTGTCCTCAGGTAATTTTTATGTACTACTGTCAGTCTCATATTTTATCTCCTACTTGTAGTTGTTGATCCTTGAAAGGCCCCTCATTGGAGTTTTTAATAGATATCGTCACAGTTAACTATTGTGCATGTACTAGCCTTACACATTGACAGTTTTGAAGGAAACATGTGGTAGCAAAATTTTATGGGATCAGACAATTTTTTTTGATTTTTAGAAGAGTATAGTTCTTTTAAACGTTGAATTTTTTAAATCTAAGTGGAAGGCATCCTTTGTGAACTTTACAGAAACGTACAATGAAGAGAAAGATATGAACCTTGTCAGGGAAGATGATGGTGAGAGGTGAGATTTGTATGTTTACAAGATAATTAACAACATCAACTGCCCTAAGCAGTTGACAGGGTACTTAGTGAAACGATCACAGAGACACTGTCGAGCCTTTAGAGATCCAACATTATTAGATCTACCACAAGTTAAGACCAAATGTGGACAGACCTCGTTTAAGTTTTCGGCTGCGAGTGCCTGGAACAAACTGCCAAGAGAGATTCGCGAGCTCACAACACTCGCACAATTTAAAGGCAGAACTTTCACTTACCTCATAAACACGGACAGCGTAAATCATATTTGTACAAGTTAAATGTAATTTTTACATATAATTTATATATTTTAGATTTGTAATTGTAATTCTTATTGCTTGTAATTCTTTTTAACTGGTCACCGATTAATACCAGTGAATCTATATCTTGATCGACTGACCGGTTTCTTACCAGGATAAATAAAGTTATTATTATTATTATTATTATTAGATTTACTGTCCAAGGTTCTCTTCTCAAACACATTTTGAGGTGCCAATTAAACTGAGATATGGCCATCAGAATCATGTGTTAATGATAATTATGTGAGGATAGAAATGAAAAATGAAATATCTATAGGCATCATTTATCTCATGGTGAGAGAAGGAAAAAATGCGTGATATATTCACTGGTCAGAAACAGGGTTGAATATTTGTAAAACACTGTCTTCTGTATGATATACATGTACATGTACAGTTGTACATGCACCTCTCATCAGTGAATTTTCTTCAGCACGCAGTGTTGGTAGACAAGTGGATGACTGACTTTTGGACCATTAAGAATTAACGCTCTATAAATACTGTATATTATTATTATTATTATTATTATTATTATTATGACTTGTTAGCAATTATTTTCATTTACATTTTGTAATAACTAGTATACTGTAGCTATGCCTGTAAAATGGAAATGTTATTTATTTATTAGAGTGTGCCATGACATTAATCTGTCTTAGTTTGTGGAATCTTAAATTTTCCTATCCTTCTTGTAGAGTTGAAGCTAAAGAAACACTGTTTACGAAAGGACAATCTAAAAGAATTTGGAATGAACTTTACAAGGTAAAAATGTAGCCAGCATTTGCACTGAAATGCTTCTTGACATTGCATCCTCATAAGAAATTTAACTGTGTATTACATCAAATTGTATGCAATATGAATGGTCCTTTTTAACTGAAGCATTGGTTGCAGACCCAAAACGGATAATTCAAAATTTTATTCTTGTCCATGGCTGAATTCTCTGGCTTTGGACAATGGCTGTCAGAGCTTCATAATTGTAATTATTTTACACTCTTTCACGTACTTCAAAGCTAAATACAAAGCAGTTCTAATCATTTCTATTTCATTTAAATGTTTTTCAGGTTATAGATTCTTCTGAAGTTGTCATACAGGTATGGTTAAACCTAAACTCTTAAGAACTGCTGTACATTTTCCGCATAAAAGAGATGGCAGACTGATCACAATGATAGTCAAAACATGTGAATGTTCTAAGTTAGTGCTACATGCACTTTGTCTTTAAAACTCAGAAGACATACTGAAGAATCTTCCCAAATTTCTTTATTTACACAGACTATTTACAGTGGCGAGATTTTTTTATTAAGTCGTAGTTTGTGACCTTATTCTCGCGGTTACTTTCTTAAGGGATATGCACGTTGATCCAGCTTTACCATTTTACTGAACGCTATCCTGCCCTATTTTTCCTTTTTGTTTCTGAAGAATTTCATGTAGAACACTTCAAAGCTGATTATTTGCGCTTTTATCTCAGGTTTTGGATGCCCGTGATCCCATTGGAACACGCTCAACCCATATTGAGTCCTTCATGAAGAAAGAAAAACAACATAAGCACCTTATTTTTGTTTTGAACAAGTGTGATCTTGTGCCAACTTGGGTAACGGTAAGTAAAAAGCTGTATGGTCTGCGTGCACATGTAGGTGCAGTTTGCGCTTCGTGTCCATATGTGTCCATATTACTCAGGACCGTTTAGCCGTCCATGTTTCTCTGTGTTATATACCATCCTCCTGAACTGATATCCTGCTGTCCACTTTAAGTTGGAGTTAGACGGTTGGTCGTTACAGAAAATTGTTCTGGTTTTACTGTATCATGACAACATTGGATCAAAACTGAATGGGAGAAAAATTTAAATTGTTTTATGTAACCGTTTACCTGCTTTTCTTCAGTCCACTTGTGATCGAATATGCCGTGAGAAAACTGGGAAATTTCCGTTGATATTTATCGAGAGATATTACCAAAAGTTTAAAACCTTGCGTCCCAAAAGCTTCCCTAAGACTTGAATTCAAGATGGGGGAGTTTTCATCTGTTTTTACACAAAAATAAATATACTGAAAACTCAACATTCCATGTCGTAAGTATTGCTAACGGTAAGCCTTTTATAAGCGTTTTGTCTCCCACGTTGAAAAACCATCGTGCGATGATAATCTCCGTGGCCCTCATCTGGTGAGAAAGTGTGGTCGATAATTGTCCGAGGAAATTATTTTTTCCCTAGAAAACTGCTCGCATCACGGAACAAATTACTTCTGCACAGAAATACCCTTGCATAATTCTTCCTCAAAAGGAAGGCTAGAGTTAACAAATGGTAAACACCACAGCGTACACTATTGAGTTATGGATGCACGCGGGAGGTTGCTTAGCACGAAAGAAGCGTAAGAGTCGCTCGAGGCGATAGCCTCGAGCGACTCTAGCTTCTTGAGTGCTTAGCAAACCTCCCAAGTGCATCCATAACTCAATAGTGTACGCTGTGGTGTTTACCATTTGTTAACTCTAGCCTTCCTTTTGAGGAAGAATTATGCAAGGGTATTTCTGTGCAGAAGTAATTTGTTCCGTGATGCGAGCAGTTTTCTAGGGAAAAAATAATTTCCTCGGACAATTATCGACCACACTTTCTCACCAGATGAGGGCCACGGAGATTATCATC